TCCAGAGTACTTCATTGTACTCATGAGGAACCTGTACGTAGACTAGGAGTCTGTCATTCAGACAGAACAAGGGGACACTGCATGGTTTAAAATCGGGAAGGGAGTGTGTCAGGGTTATATCCTTTCACCATACTTACTCAATCTGTATGCTGAGCCATAATAATCATAATAATGCAAGATGCTGGACTATATGAAGAAGAATGTGGCATCAGGATTGGAGGAAGGCTCATTAACAACCTGAGATACTCAGATGACACAACTTTGCTTGCTGAAAGTGAGGATGACTTGGAGCACTTACTGATGAAAATTACAGACTGCAGTCTGCAGTGTGGATTACACCTCAATATAAAGAAAACAAAAATCCTCACAACTGGATCAATAAGCAGCATCATGATAGATGGAGAAAAAATTGAAGTTATCAGAGACTTCATATTGCTTGCTTCTATAATAAATGCCAACGGAAGTAGCAGTCAACACATCAAAAGATGTATTGCATTGGATAAATCTGTCACAAAAGACCTCTTTCAAGTGCTGAATAGCAAAGATGTCTCCTTGAAGTCTAAGATTCACCTGACCCAAGTCATGGTATTTTCAGTCACCTCATATGCATGTGAGAACTGGACAATGAATAAGGAAGACCAAAGAAGAGTTGATGCTTTTGAGTTGCTGTGTTCGTGAAGAATGCTGAAAGTACCGTGGACTGCTAAAAGAACTAACAGATCTGTCCTTGAAAAAGTGCAGCCAGAGTGCTTCCTGGAAGCAAGAATGTCCAGACTTCATCTCACCTACTTTAGTCATGTTGTCAGAAGGGACCATTCTCTGGAGAAGGATGTCATGCTTGGTAAAGTGGAGGGTCAGCGGAAAAGGGGAAGACCCTCAACGGCTTGGGTGTAGTAGGGATTGTGAGGTTGGCACAGAACTGGGCAGTGTTTCATTCTGCTGTACACAGGGTCTTTATGAGTTGGAGACAATTCAATGGTGCCTAACAACAACAACATTATGTTTATTAATGGTTACCAGGTACAGGCAGGGGGAGGGGGCACGGTTACTCATTGCTCAGGGGATACTGAGCTTCTGTGGAAGGTGATGGAAAAATGTAGGAAAGATAGTAGTGATGGTTGAACATGATGAATGTCACAGAATTTTACGTGTAAAAAATGTTGAAATGGCAAATATTTGGTAAATGTGTATTTACTATGTTGTTGTTGTGTTGTTGTTAGGTGCCATCAAGTCGGACCCAACTCATAGCGACCCCTCCTTGGGTTTCCAAGGCAGTATCACTACGGAAGTAGATTGCCCCATCTTCCTTCCGAGGAGTGGGTATTTACTATAGTATTTAAAAAAAAAAAAAAATTCTTTTTTTTGGTTAAATTTAAACCTTTAGGATTTCTGTTTTGTAATCAAATCACCCTTTCACAGAGCCCATGTTGACATCTAAGACACTGATGGTTTGGAGAGATGGCCAACGTTGCATTTGTGCCGCCTGTGCGAGAGAAGACTGGCTGTGCACGCTCACGACAGATGAATGTGATCATCTGCATCATCTCTTCATACTATTTTAACAGAAAAAATTTCACATACTTTAAAAATATCCAGTTACATCCAAACAAAGTACTTACAGTGTAAATTGTAGGGCTTTACAAACTTAATTGCAGCCATTTTAGCTGGTTGTTAAAACAGGAAACTTCTCAATTTTTAAACATGTTTAAAAGCCATACACTTCTTTCTTTTTTTAACTTTTTATTGTGATTTGGGGGTAATTTTACAAAGCAGATTCATTTCATATTCACCAGTTCATAAACATTTTGTTTCATGATACTGATTACAATCTCCACAGGGAACAGTTTTCCTCCCACCTCCTCCCTGTGGTTACCCCTCCCCTGTGTCCTTCTTACCTGTGTGTTCCCGCCTGCCTACCTCTCTCCTATACAAATGCTGCCCTTCTGGTCTCCCGTGGTTGATTGTTCTATGGGGTGCATCTCTCTGCTGTAGTTGTTCAGCTTGTAGGCCAGTCTGTTGTTTGCCTGAGAGTTAAGCCATGGGCATGAGTCCAATTTCAGGACCAAAGGGTGACTTGGGGCCATAGTCTGGAGGAGGGGTTTCACCCATCTCTTTCCAACCAATAATCCTGGGGTGTTTTTTTTTTATGTTTTTTAATTTTGTTCCACATTTTTTCTCCCACTCTCTCCAGGATCTCCAATCTTGATCCCTTTCCAAGTGGTTGGCATGGGTAGCTGGGCAAGTCATATACTTCTTGAACACAATCTGTAATTCACTTCCCCTGTGGACCAGTCCAGATTACATAGATGGCATACAGTTTTCATGGTCCCTCACAGTTCATTGCATGAATTTTTACCTTTGTCCTATTTGCAAATGGTTCACTTTCTGAAAAGGGTCTTCTCTCCCTCAACCATCTGGGTCCCTGGGATAACAATGAGCTAGTGATGGAAGGGGCTGCCCAAACAGTGCCTGTCTGTGCTCCCAACCTCAGGCCAGAAACCAAGGAGATATCCTTGAATTCACCCTTTCCTGTCCTTTTCCTGCCTCCCTCCCCCAAAATAAAACAAACAGCAAGCACATATGCCTACAGTATGGCAGTAAGACAGAGTTGATATTCCCTAAACTAAGGGCATGGGGCACTGGTGGGTTGTTGGTAGGATTTTCGCCTTCTGTGGGTTTGGTTCATGCCCGCTGCACCTCGTGCACAGCCAGTGCCTGTCTGTCACTGGAGGCTTTGGTGTTGCTATTGTCCTGAATAGGGTTCAGCATAGCTTCCAGACTAAGGTGACTAGGGAGAAGGCTTGGCAATCTCTGTCTGAAACTCTGCCAGTAAAAACTCAACTGTCCAAGCTGCAGCTGATGATGGGGGTGGCACCAGGCCGGGCAGCGTTCTGTTTGATCGTGAATGTTGCTGCGTGAGTCGGGAGCTGACTCTACAATAGCAAACATCACCAACAAACTAAGGGCATGGACTTCATATCCTTCTGCCCACCCAGCCCAGTGCCGATACATGTTACATTTTCAACAAATACTTGCTGCACTGTGATTATCCCAAAGTCCAACTCAGTCTTTTGTATTGTTGGGTCTTGGCCTGCGAGTTTAAGGAGCTGCCACTATTAGAAGTTAGGAGCGTGATAACCAAATTATTATGATAGCCACTTGTTGCCAGCATGGGTTATATTTAATGCAGCCTTTAGGCCAGAGTTGCTGCTTATTGGCCAGCTTCTTGCATTAAGAGAAGCCACTGAGGAGAGTGTCCCATGCTGAGCTCATTTGCAGCCTGAGAGCTAGTGAAAGGCATTTGCTGAGAACTTCCAATTGATTCCAGAGTATTTTTTAAAAAGAAGAAACCACTTTTGATCATTTTATTTCTCCACCTTTGACTGTCTTACCAGTCTCAATTCAACCAAGGTTTATAGGACACCTCCAATGTCTCCACCATGACTTTGGGTCCTGGGGCCCTCAAAAATGAGAACCCCTCACCCCCACTCCCAGGTAGCTCACAGTCCAGGAGGATAAGGCAGGAGGGGGGTCAAGCTGCCAAACATAGAAGGCAGCAGACACCATGGCTCCTTAATCTGCAAGTGTATCTGTGCTTTTTCCCAGTAAGGCTTTTGGTAAAGAATCAAGTATTTTATTTATCATTCAAAAACATTTATTAGGCATCTGTTACTTGCCAACAACTATGGGATATATTCTGTTTTGTTGCCAGAGTCATTTTGAAGCAAAATAAAAGAATATTTCTTTCTGTGTGTAAACCTTTTCCTGATTTTTTACAATAGTGATCTCATGCCATGTTTGTCCTTTTGGAATTAACTAGTTTCACTCAGCAGAATGTCCTCTGGGTTCATCCCTGTTATGTGGTGTTTCGCAGATTCATCGTTGTTGTTTGGTGTTGGTTAGTGTTGCATAGTATTCCGTTGTATGTAGGCACCATGGTTTGTTTATCCATTCAGCCATTGCTGGGCAATTAGGTGGTTTCCATCTTTCTGCTGATAAATTGCTGGATCACATGGTATTTCTCTTTCCAGCTATTTAAGAAAGCACCATACCATTTTCCATTGTGGTTCCACCAGCAGTGTGTGAGGGTTCCAGTCTCTCCACACTCTAGCCAGCATTTGTTGTTTTCTGTTTTTTTGAACTTTGCTATGAATGCTGGCGTAAGATATTATTTCATTGTTGTTTTGATTTGTGTATCTCCAGTGGCTGATGATCAGGAGCATTGCTTCATGTGTTTGTTGGCTGCCTGAATATCTTGTTTGGTGAAGTATCTGTTCATGGCCTCTGTCCAGTTTTCAATTGGACTAGTTGTCTTTTTGTTGTTGAGGTGTTGAAGTTTTCTATAAATTTTAGAGATTAGTCCCTTATCTGGTAATGTCGTTGCCAAAAATTTTGGGAGCTAGCTATGTGACCATGAGTAGAGTTTCAAGCTCACTGCATCTCAGGAGCTGCCGCAGAAGTGAGCATGTGCATGGAGGACTACCTGGGCACTCTGAAAACAACCCCTGGAGTCAGCTGATGGACGTTCTGGAGCTCCCCATCCCCAACTACCACCACCACCACCACCACCGCGATTGCTCTTACTACATTGTACTTGATTGTATTGGTGTAACCCATACTAGGGAACAACTATTGTTAAAATCTCTGTAAAGCGCATCAAATAAAGGTGTTACTGATGGCACTGTTCATGGCATTGTCAATAGGCTGTGTAGTACAAACCCTGGGGAAGGTTTAGTTCTGTATTTAGGATACAAGAATAGTCCAACAGGCTAAGTTTTTCATTTTTTTGTTTGTTTTAATGTGATGGACATCAAATTGCTTGACCAAGTTTCCCCCTTTGCATTTGCTGCTGGGAAGTTCAGTACCAAATTGTAGAACCCTCTGATCCATGTTTTTTCCCATCTCATTCCTGAACAGAGTAGAGCCAGGGTGGTGCTAGTGGGCCTGGCAGTCAGGGCCCTGTACGAGCTCTCTCATGGGCTGTGTCTCTTTCCCCACAGCTGTCCTGGGGATGGGACTATTCCGGCTCCTCCAACCTCAGCGAGCTGAAGCTCCTGCTGGAAGAAGCAGTCATGCTGCGACGCCTCAAATCTGATGTCCTTTCTCAGCTCCCTGCCAAACAGCGCAAGATGGTGGTGGTCGCTCCGGGACGCATCAGTGCCAAGGCCAGAGCCAAGCTGGATGCCGCAGCCAAGGAAATGACCATCAAGGACATAACAGTGAGTTCGGGCTGGGGACAGGGTTGTGGAAGCAGACATAGCCACAGGTGAGGGCACCATGCATGTTACCCAGAGTTCTTGGACTTGCTCTTCCAGAACCTCTTCCCACTTCCCTGGGCAAGAACAGGGAGCCTGTTTTACTTTCACCCTGCCTAGACTATTTAGAAAATCTCTTACTAATTTGCACTTTTATGCTTGTGTGGTGTCCCTGGGTAGTGGAAGTAGTTAATGCATTCAGCTGCTAGCCAAAAGGATGGAGGTTCAAGTCCCATCCAGCACCTCAGAAGGAAGGCCTGGCAGTCTACTTCTGAGAAATGAGCCACGGGAAACCCTTTGGAGCCCACGTCTGCCCTGACACACACGGGGTCCCCATGAGTCAGATTCAGCTCTATGGCACCTGTTTCCTGGTTTTCATACTTGGGTACATTGATGTTGACAAATGGTCATAAAAATAAACCCGGGGGAACTGGGGGATGGTGATACACCATCTGAGTCCCTCAAAGAAAGTTGAAACTTCTGTTTAGTGTGTTTCAAGAATGCCTCAATCTAGTAATAGTTGTTAGAAATACATGTATTTAATGTGTTAGTCCTCTAACCAGGAGCACTGGTGATGTAGTGGTTAAAGCATTTAGCTGCTAACCAAAAGGTCAGTGGTTCAAACTCACCAGGCACTCTGTGATAGAAAGATGAGGCAGGCTGCTTCTGTAAGATTTACAGCCTTGGAAACCCTATGGGGTAGTTCTGCTCTGTCCTAGAGAGTAGCTAGGAATTGGAATCAACTCAAGGACAGTAGGTTTTGGTAATCCTCTAACCATACCACTTGCTCTAGTCATATAACATACCGTATACCATATAATTTGTTTAACAAAGTAGAGTTCTTCAAGCCCTGTTAACGTTTTGAGTCCTTACTATGTCCATTTAAGATTAGTAGAAGCTGGCATCTTCATTTTGCAGAGAGGGAAACTGAAGAAAACCACTGAGATGTGACTTGCCCAGGGGCGCATGTTCACGGACCAGCAAAGCTGAGGCTGAAACCACGCCTTCTGTCCCTGCATTTTAGAGCTCTTTGCATGTGGTGGCTTTATCTTTTCCAAGCACGTTTATTTATTGTCTGTCTTTAGTGTCATACTGTGCTAAGAGCTGGAAAATAAGCTACACCCACTCTGTTTCCATTCTCTTGGGATAAAACCTTGCAATTTTCATTGCCAAGAAAATAACAGTCATTGGCATGTGTTGGCATTTTCATAAAGTATTATCTGGAGTTGACGATACCTGAATAAGGGAGCTAAGATATAGACGTGGTCTCAGCCTTCTAGAAGATTACAGATAACCCAGGATGATGAGAGACAGTGTGTGATGTTATTTTCTCATGTGATGAGCAGGACTAGCTGATAACTTTTAAGAAGCAGGTGGGGTAGAAGAGGCACCAGTAAACCGTCCCCCATACTTATTTCGTGCTATATTACATAGACTGAGGAGCTCTGGTGGCGTAATGCCTAAGGCATTTGACTGCTAGCCAGAAGGTTGGCAGTTCAAACTCACCAGCCACTCCACAGAAGGAAGACTGGGCAATCTACTTCTGTAAAGATTTACTGCCTCAGAAACTCAAAGAGGGTCACTGAGTCAGAATCGATTTGATGGCGGTGAGGTTGGTTTGGCGAGCTCTGGTAAGCATAGTGGCTAAGACACTTGCCTGCTAACCAGACGGCTGGCGGTTCAAACCCACCAGCCACTCCTCGGAAGGAAGGTTGGGCAATCCTACTTCCGTAGTGATACTGCCTCGAAAACCCAAGGAGGGGTCGCTATGAGTCGGGGCCGACTCGACAGCACATAACAACAACAACAACGGACTAATCTGGATGGTCCAGAGGAAATGAGCAGGTATGCTTTCTTTCCCATGGAGCTCTCAGAGATCAGCAATATTGGTGTGAGCATACAGACCAAACAAACAAAACCAGTTGCTATCGAGTCAGCATGTCTCATGGTGATCCTGGAAGTTAGAGTGGGTATGCGCTCCACAGGGTTTTCAAGGTCATGACCTCTGAGGAGCAGATTGCTGGGTCTAGCTTCCGAGGCACGTCTGGGTGGGCTCCAACCACCAACCTCCCAGTTAGTAGCTGAGCACTCAGCCCTGTGCACCACCCAGGGACCTCATCAGACCAGCGGTTCCTCTGTTGTTTCAGTGGATCGTAAGAGGAGCCAGCGGGTTAGGTTCTGAAGTCAATCTGAATGGTCTTTTTCTGATTTCCAGAGATAAAAATTCAATGAATGGGAAAAATTTTCTCAATTTTAACTTTTTCCTTACAACTTGTTCTTAAGCTTTATATAACTACTAACTGTTGTCTGCTAGTGAACTCTTCCAGACAAGAGAGCCAGTGATTGAGGTGGGCAAATACAGTATTAATGAAAAAATCCAGATATGCAGTATTTTGAGATGGAAAGATTTGAATATTTATAAAACAGTATGTTTTCTGCTAGCGAAGCAGTGCATGTGATGGAGTTGAGCTGTCAGTATTTCATGGGACTCCGCAGAGGATACCCTCAGCTCTACCCGGTGTTTGAGAACAGCCAGCATGGACGACTGACAAAGCCATCAGTGGGCATTTGAATTGAGGAGGAAAGCCACGTGAACTGGCTGAGAGACAGCAGTGAATTATGTGGGTTGGCCAAACATCAAAATAGAACTAATGGGAATTTTCGTACTTAGTGCCGAAAGGTTTGAAACCATTTTTTAAACTTCCTGCCAATTTGTACAGTTCCTCAGGTTGGCTGAGTGACTCTTCCCAAAGATGATTTCAGATGTCACTGAGAAATTTCATTTCTGAGTTTATGGGCAATGGTAAGAAACTGACCGGCCCAGAATATTGGGTGCTTTATGTTGCTGTTTGTCGTTAGCTGAACTCAAGTCAGTTCCAGCTCATTACAACCCACATGTTTAGAGCAGAACTGCAGGATGGGGTTTTCAAGGCTGGGACCTTTAGAAGCAGGTCATCAGACCTGTCTCGCAGGTGCCTCTGGGTGCATCTGAACCTCCCGTATTTGCCTCCCACCAGTTGAGCACTTCACCATTTGTATCACCCAGGAACTCCTGGATGTTTTATAACTTGACATAATTATTCAAAAGCTTAAATTCTTCAGCGTATTGTTCCTTTTGTGGTAATAGTCTGAACAACTCAAGCTTGAAAAAAAACTAAAAAGAGGGAACTACTACCTACAACCCACTCTAGGTTTGGTGCTGGGGAATACGTAAGGATAGTGGTCTGTGATCATCATTTCTGTTTCACAAGCTGCCCCAGAGTCTTCACTCTGCCTTGAAGATTATGGAACTGAGGCCGGAATTGCGCTGTCATTCCTCAGGAAGGCAGCTGAGGAAGAAGCCAGAACTCTTCTCAGTTTGGCATTTGAGAGCTGCTGTCTGCTTCCTTGGCGTCTTAGGGAAATTAGGCATTTATCCCTGAAAGAATTGAATTGGTAGAAATTACCTTCAGCAGGACACCGAAGCAAGAGATGAAGTTACTGTAGATAATAAGATGAATCCTTGAGAACTTGACTCCCTTTTGTGTTCTTCAATGTGAATTCATTTTTATAATGGAAAATCCAAGTAGAAGATGAAATTGTTTGCTATGTGCCTTAGGCCACCAGACCTTTGCAATCCTGAAACCACCACTTGGTGCATTTCTAAGCCATGGAGCAGATCGGAAGCACTACCCTAAATTAAAGACTTAATTCAGGACGGGGAACTAGAGCCACTGGGAGTTGGACCAACTGACCGTTGACATCCCTTTCAAACTCTGGCCAGCTATGAAATCCTGAGTTGACGGAATTAAAATATAGCGTTTAAAATACAGAATCAACAGTTTGGTGGTTTTAGTCATAGAGGGAGGCTCTGTAAATCAGAGCCCCTCCCTGTTCTACCAGTTACTTTTTTTTTTTTTTTTTTAGGATTTGGGTGAAGATTTACAGAGTAAATTCACTTTTCATACAGCAGTTCACATATACTTTGTCTCATGGCATTGACCAAAATTTAC